TTTAAGTACTTTTTAAGCACTATATACATTACCAAAATGCAAAATAATTTTCCAAGACTTTACATGATCATGATAAACTATTTTCTGACAAAGAACTCTTCTTGATCATATTAGCCATTATAAAATGATCAAGAGGTATTTCGGTTCGATATCAGAGGGTGGAAAATGAAGTCTGAAATTGAGAATATCTAGCAAAATGCAGCAGAGTTGCAAATGACAGTGCAATAATCTCACTGAACCCAACTCAGTATATATGCACATATGAACTCGCAAGTACTGCAACAAACATGCAAAATAATTGGCGCTTTCTTACGTTATGGACCGACAGTATGCAGAAATAGATTGTGGTTTAATGAATTGTGAAAGCATTGAATAGAACAATATTAAAAGCACGCTTTTGCATAATACGTGACAGAAATTGACATGGTAAAGAAAAAGATATCATTTTCGAAAAGGGAAAATGAAGCACTATTTAAAAACACCCAATCAAAAAAGCACCTTTAAGAGCTTTTAAATAACGAAAATCGAAAATAAACATCTTTAAGCACTTTTTTAAAATACTACGCACCATGTCATAGTCTATTGTAGAATCAAAAATGGATAGCTTTCTTTTGATTGTTTGTATGGAGGCATGGCTATACTTATTCAATAAGAACTAAAACAATAATTTTGTAGCAACCAACAAATAATGAAATTGTTCAGCCATAGATGAATAATTTAACAATAACTTGTTAGAAGAAATCTTTTCTTCTTTGTTATTTGTTGCTTTATAATGCATGCATTCTGAAACTCTTGCTAACAAGAATATTTTGTCTTTCAATTCAATCGTCAAATTCTTCAAGGTTTTATTTTATTTTTATTACTTTAGCTTTTATGTGAGCTTCAGGGAGCATAGTTCCTTTTCCAAGCTATTTTGGAAGATCAAGTATGTTCTAGGTCTGTTTTGATTTTAAAGTTTTTAATAAATAGTTTATTTCGGCATTAGTTTTTCCTCACAGAAATCAACAAGAAAAAACACATTTGAGTCCTTCTCCACAAAATCTTGTTTATAGTGAAATTAAAAAAATTGTTTTCTAATTGAAATGAAACCCATCCAGACTTCTATATTCTGTTTAAAAAGAACTGATAGTAAAAGTAGAAAAGAAACCTGACTTTGCCTTTAACTGAATGGGGCCAAGGTAATAACAAACAGCAATACTCTGACTAATGGTCAATACAAAAAAAATCACCAACTTAACAATGAACCAGCAGAAGTAGATAATATAGGCGATAGGTAGCAAACCACTATGTTAACTTCTTCTAACAGTTTTAGCTGAACAGAGGATAGAAATTGAACTCACAAATTTTTTTTAAATAGTAATATAAAACTTTAAAAACTAGCTTACTTGTTTTATTACGTGTAAAACAAATGTGTAAATAAAATTTTAAACAATTATTTTAAAAACAACATGAGACAACGTGCCTAAGGTAGCTGATAAGTAGCGAACCGTGCTGATAAGTAGCAAACCGCTATGTTAACTTCTTCTAACAGTTTTAGCTCAACAGAGGACAGAAATTGAACTCACAAATATTTTTTAAATAGTAATATAAAATTTTAAGAAACTAGTTTACTTGTTTTATTACGTGTAAAACAAATGTGTAAATAAAAGTGTAAACAATTATTTTAAAAACAACATGAGACAACGTGCTTAAGGTGGTGTAAAATGTGAAAAAATCTAATTTTGAGACAAACACATGTAAAGCTATAATCAATAGTCTTTCTACTGTTAAGACCTTGCACAAAAACTGCTATAACTTTTTAAATAATAGGAGTACAAACAAAAGTAAAGTAAAGTATTTTAGAAAGTTAAAAGTACAGGGATTCTATATTTATAATAAATTCAATTTCAAAACTTTTACACAAAATCATGTTTTAACACTAGTCAGATACCTTAAAGCATTTTTTTCTAATTTCAGATTTTGCACTAAAGAACTTTATAATTCAGTTTAAAACTTAAAACAATTAAGAATAAAAGAAAGTAATGCAAATGTCAAACCAATCTTTGTACTAAATGGAACATTCCTACGGAACACTGCTATTTTATTGAATAAAAAAAATGAAAAAATATTTCTTAGACATAAATACAGTCAAGTAAAAGTTAGAAGTAGCACTGAGAGAACGCTGGCTTCAGATAGGTTAAACTTGTCCTAACAGTCATGAGTAACTGTAGCAAACTCACAGCAGTTTAGAAAATAGCATATTATTCGCAAAAATCATTTTATATGACGACAGAGCCTTCGAAAAACAGCCATAATTCAGATCTTTAAAATAAATTTCATTTTAAACACATCTAAAATCTATTCTTACCATAGTCAGTATTATCAGGTTGATGATGAGAAGGCCAAAAATAAGGAGCCTAAAAAAGTATAAATTTTTAGAAGTAAGAAACTATGAATTACACTTAAAACTAAATGAAACAGAGAAAACATTATTGCATATTTAGTTTATAACAGATTATTAAATTTAGCTTCTAAATATTTAAACAAAAATAACTATAAATTAACTTAAGGCTAAGAGAATATAAGGAGAAAATATAAGCACATTATAAAGTAATAGATATCTTTCATTTTTCATATACAAAAACAGATTATTAACTTATTAATGATTACTTTAATTTAATACAACCGAATTATTCAAATTACTCTAAAAATAGTTCACCCCTTCAAACAAAAACTTTAAATTTAAAAATTCATAAAAAAAGAAAATTTAATCAAAAAGATGTAAGCAACAAATAAGTAAAGTGTTAAGTTAAACACAACATTAAAAAAAAAAAAAAATTCTTAAAGAAAAATTTAAAATTAGTTTGAAATAATGTTATTTAAAAAAATTATGAGAATATTGTCAAACTTACTTGAAACCTGTATAGAGAACCGTCATCTTTAATTGCTAGAGACCTAGAATCGCTCACTGGGAAAAAGTAGCCGTGTTGGCATAATTGATTGGCTAAATGAACTGCTTCTGTTAAAGGATAAACAGAGACTTTAAAGGAATTAATATATTTTCTCTTAAACTACTACAAACGATAACAAAAACATAAATGGCAACTTATTTTAAAAAAATACACATTAAAATCTAAAAAAAAATTGTTGAATGTTAATTTTTATACTATTGCATACTAAAAAAATATACAATATCCTTAGAAGATTGTTTAAAGTGGGCTGCCTTTTACAGATATTGATAATTAAAAGTATATATAATAACTTTATACGTTAAATAAAATTAGCCTTCTTATGCCAAGTCAAATTTTTATAATAATATTTTAAGGAAACATTTATTTACTGTAGCAGTTTGAGGTGATATAATGATAAGCTTCATTTTTAAACTGCTTAATATAATGCTAAAAGCATTTTTATTGAAAAACACCATAGCAGGCAATAAGATGTTTCTGTGTACTGTGCAGTGCATCATCATTACACAACAGCACAGAGTGAGCCTTGGGTCTCTCCAAAACATTTATTTTTAAGTGCAAGTTCCCTACTAGTTCAACTACAAATACGTTTATGTGAGCCACGATGGCTCAGGGGATAGAGGGATCGCCTTCCAACGAGGCGAACCAGGTCTGAATCCCAGTCAATACGAATTCCGCATCCAGCTTGCACCGACTACAGTACTGACAGGAAATATCCTCAGTGGTAGACGGATCATGGGTTAGAGTCCCTTTGCCATCAGGCTATCCATGGGAGGTTCTCGTGGTCTTCTTCTC